ATAATTGAAGATATCAGCACTAAGTGGGATTATTTTTAGAACTTTTCCTAACACGTTTAAGCTTCATCTGCGTAGAACAATGCATTTTTTAATAGCCAAAATTTAGAAGGTAAAAAAAAAAAGTTAAACTGAAATGAATTTTAGAATTTTTCCTATGTGGCTAGTAATCATCTTACCTACACTATTTTCTGTTAATATTATTCCATCAAAGCAACCGAAGGCTGTCGGTAAAATCCCCATGGATGGCAGAGAGAAGAACTCCCAGCAGACAGCAGCGTGGGGTCCTCAGACCCGTGACCCCCACCCTGGGTGTTGAGTGATTCTCAAAATGTGCTCCAAGGAGTTTTCGTTTAACTGCTAAGCCTTCACGCCCACCACCAGTAAACAAGAGTTTGGGCTCCCACTGACATAAAATCCCTTGTCCCTGTGTTGCATTAGATGATGTTGAAATAAACTCAGAAACCAAATCAAAAGCTACGTATCCGAATACAGGCTCAAGTGATGATGCCTGCCAAACCTACTGATTTTTATTTTCCTCAGTTTTTGCATTAAGCAATTTTTTTTTTTCTTACGTCAGCAAGAGACTTCTGAACCTCTGACATAAGCTTGCCAAAATTCAAAATGTACTTTCTTCTCCATCCCCTTCCTTCCTAGGAACAGTTAAGGAGAATCTCTCGTTACCAGCTCTAGTATAACAAGCATTGAAGTGCTCGAAAATCATACACAATGCTATGAAATCCTTCAAAAGCAACCGTTTGGGTAGATGGTAGCTCCAACAACAGGTCTGATGTGCTGCTTTCCCAGGGAAGTTAGCGTGCCTCCAGTTACGCTGCTAAGTATCTATGATTTAACGAATTACATTAGGCTGTAATGAAATTACAAAGAAAATCATTGACATGTTTACTTAAGTAATTTGTCTTGATTTGAACCGGAAGAAGCAAAATTCTCAATTATTTCATTACCAGTTTTCTTGTTTGTTAAAAATTTTGGAAAATGTGCTTTCATTGAATGCAAGAAAGCAATAAAAAAACCTAACTGGATTTTTCCCATTTCTTCAAGCCTGGAGATACTCGCGGACAAGGATGACTTGACTGAAGTGTGGTATTTCGAAACAGGTCATTGCTACTATGAAAATAACGCTTAATAATAAAGCTTATTAAACAACTAGTAAACGAAGTAGGATGAGAATTGGTCTAACCAAGGATCCTGTCTCCGAAGCGACTGTTTGATGACGGGAGCTGCTTCTCTCTTCCCCGCTGGCTTCTCCATCCTGCTCCTGAAACCGATCACGTTGACTACAGTTTATCAGGACAGGACCAGGAAACTGCTCTAGCCTTAATAAATGAAACAACTTGCTCTTTTCTTTTTCTAAAGCCCAGAAAACCTCAACAACAACAATATAAAAGCCAGCCGGGTCAGTTCCTTATTCTAGTTCACAGCGAAATACCTGCAGCTTGTTGGTACACCAGAGACCTGATGGTAGTCCGCAGCAGATACTCACAAAAAGATCGTGAGAAACATAGTAAAGGAGGATCCCAGTATATTCTTATCACCATCAATAATCAGCAGCCTAGGGACTGTGTATTAGGTCAAAAACTTAGGTTTTTACAGTAATGAAAACAAAGTAGAGTACAAACAGTACCACTGCTTGAGCACTCGGAAATTAAGAGATACCCGTCTCTTAATCTCCATTTGCTCCCTTTGGGTGTATGCGTTATGGCACGGGCATACTGTGCCACAGCACCTCTCCATCATACGATGTCCACAACGGACAGGGCTGAATTCAAGATCACCGATGCTGCCTTTTTCCTTCCATATCCTTCCTAGCCCTAAGAAGGAACACACAGCATTTACCATAATTTGTTTTTTCGAAGTCTAGTACTCACAAATGAGTAGAAAGGCTCAAGACAAGACCATAAGGAACACCTAGAGTAATTTTATATATGATTTAACCCTTGTGACTGACCTAGGTACCATGCAGATTCACTTTTGGATTACACAACACTGTAAGAAAAAAAGTCAGTTTATAAATTAAATGAATTAAGCAAATTAAAAAAGAATTAAAATAATGAGAAACATTTTTAAAACACGTTTGACTGATCTGAATGAAACCTGTGAAGAGAATAGCCTACTAAGCAATCCTCCTCCTCTCTGAACATAAACCTGGGCGGAGCAGGCAATCTCAGAATCACCCCTTTCTTTAGCTCCACGCTGGGATACAGTGGTAGAACGGGCTTCAGGACTTCAGACACTTAAGTTATGGCAGTTCCTAGATTCTTTGCTATTCTTACAGACAACACAAACATGGGCTTTCAGAAGCAGAATATGCTGAAGTAAATGAAATCTGGCCTCAACTTTTATTTAATCAACTGCCTATGCCTCAGATTGAGCTGGAACATGAGCAATTTGGAGAAAAAAAACCCAAGCCATGCATAAAAGTATGCATTCTTCTTTCAAAATACAGGCCATGCACTTCAGTGATTTTACTCTCCCCCACAGCAATCCTTCCCACTGCTCTCCTCCCCTCCCTCCCGACGTCATACCAACCCCCACAGCAATCCTTCCCACTGCTCTCCTTCTCCCCTCCCTCCCGACGTCATACCAAAAATAAAAGGGAAGAAATTCAGTGAAGTATCTAAGTCTCTGGGCTGCACTCCAGGGTGCTTCCCCAGTCCTGCTCCATAAACTGCATTTCTCAGCTGTCTCCATCTGTAAGGGGATAACTATGTACAGCGAGCACCCTGGGTCTTTCCTTAGCTGCACTACATAGTTTGCATCCAGTAAGTTAAAAAGAAGTCCAAAATCTATAAAATAGTTTTCAAGCACCAAATTCATACACACACTGAAATATATACATATATATCTCCACATATATGTAAATATATGCCTATGTGTGTGTGCATATATATATTTATTTATATGTGCCCTTTTACAAACACGTGTGTATCACGCTGTTTTCTTTCCTCTGAACAGTGGGGATGGTAATTCGTTTGTCTAGGGAAGAAAATACAAGGGTGTTTTTTCATAAATCATAGAATGGTTTGGGTTGGAAGGGACCTTTAAAGGTCATCTAGTCCAACCCCCCTGCCGTGGGCAGGGACATCTTCAACTAAATATCAATATCCTCCTTCTGACAACAGGCCACATACAACTGCAGTCCCTGCATTAGGAATATCAGTTAGCGTTAAAAATTTCAGCCCTATTCTCCAGGCATCTGAAGATGCTTGACAGTTATCTAACCAAGACCCCACAATGTCTCAGAGGTTAGTTTCAAAATACACAGCCTTTAGCAGCAATTCCAGCTTATGGAGCCCCTGTGCCCATAAACCCCGTCCCAAGCACTCACTCCAACCCCTCTGGCTGTGATACTGCATGTTACGCAGAACTATCTCATGATATGATATGATATACGACATGATATGGTATGATACGAAATATCTGAGGTATGAAAAGCCATCACCTCCACCAAAGCAGCTTCCCTTTGCCCTGAAAGCCAACTGAAGCACCGTAGGTCTCCAGGACAGCTCAATAAAGAGCCACGAGACCACGGGAGGAATTTGAACACGGAGCTGTGGAATTGCTTAAGCTGGAACCTGGCATGACACCGGGGTTAATCACCTCTGAGAAATATGGCCCCAAGAGCCTCATCAATCACAACACCCAGAAATGCTCAATGCATCCAAAATACTGCAGTCCTCACAACCGTGGAAGCCCCTCCACCACGAGCCCCTGTTGCTCGAGAAGCGAACCCGTGGGAAAGGGCCATCAAATCCTCTCCAAGGTGTCTGAAGTCTCGGGGACTTTCAGTTGTTCGTGACCATGCAGATGAAAGAGTTTTATTCGGCCCGTGTATCACCTTACCAGGCAAACAGAAGTGGGATCTCCTGGTCTTTAACCACAAACTAACTTGAGGAGGTTCTTGCTGAAATGTTTCGACTTCTAAAAATTAAAGGTCAGATCGCAACTTGTGTGACAGAAATCGAAAGTCCTAAAACCACAGGTGTCGTAAGGAGCTCCACATGAATTAGGGCATGGTAAGGCAGCAGGAATACACAGGAAAAACCTGCAAGTGATTCATTTGCCCTATATCCCCGCGTGTCTCTGAATAACGAAATGCCTCTAGTCTGGATGGTACGTGTCAGGAATAATAACTAAAAGATGCAGGTTAAGAAACCTGGTTAGTTAAATTAAATTTAAGTCATTAAACTATTATATCAAATTATCTTTTTAGGTACTTTTATACTTAATGTTAGAGTAATGTGATAGTAAAGTCTCAGACAGGCATGTCCTGGAACGCGTATTAACACTGAAAATAAAACAGTTGTTACATTTTCATCCTCAAAAATCCAGAGCAACTGACAAATCAACTTTTTTTTACACAGTATTGCAGTGAGAGTTCAAATGAGTACAAACCAAAGACACTTCAGTAGCACAAAGATATTATTCAAGTCCTTGGAAGATGTCTCCTTCTTGTACCGAAACTAGAGATTTTCCAGCAAGCCGTGCAATTAAATTACAAAATTGTTGCCTGTTTGTGGGTATTGGCTCAGTAAACTGAAGAGGACTGTATGGATCCGTGCGTTCAGAACGTAGCAATTTGCCCCAGGACTGCAGTCCTCCCCCGAAGGCTCACTGGGAATTGTTTCCGTCATTTGTAGGCATTTTAACATACTGTGGATGCCAAAGCCCTGTTCTTAAGAATAATGTTTTTAACTGTATGATTTAAATATCCTGAAATACAAATGGCTTGAGAATTGCAAGTTGACAGGGTACAGTAAGTCTCTTCGCTATGAATAGCCGCGGTTTTGTTTTGCCATTTGTAAGTGTAATTATTTTTTTTTTTTTAAAGACGTCTCAGACATGACATCATTCATACAGGTTCCTGTATTTTGGTGTTGGTGGTGGCTTAGCTGTCACACATTTTGATAAATCTTTGCAGATTTAGGGATGTACCACTTCTATTTTGAAGCACCTACTAAAACATTCAGTTCGATACTCACATAATCAGGAAGCGGAGAGTCATTTGAACCGAGGGAACCTCTTAAGGACTGCGTGGCTTGCTCCAGCACTTTGTTGTGTTTTTTAGACAACAAAGAAAATAAACTGGAGGGGGGAAAAAAAAAAAGGAAAAAGATATTAAAATAACTTCACAATAATGTCCTGAAATAGTTAAGACTATCCAGCCAGAAGAGATGTTTTATTATATACACAAACACGAATAAAGAGATTTTTAGAATGCAATACTCAATCATTACAGAATTTATTTATTTATTAGTTTAACATCTGGCTAAGCAACAGCAGAATTTGAATTAGAAATAGTCTGTACAATAAATGGTGTGAAGAACATCGTATGTTCATAAAAGTCAAACTGTAACAGAAGGAATGATATACATGCAATTTTAGTTCATAACCAGTATGTGTTCACCAAAAGGCAATTTTTAAGTGCAGCACCTGATGCAATATATTGCAATACATCCTTAAGCATCTTGTATATTATTCATTCCAATAACCTATTTATTTAGTACAGGAAAAATCCAAGTATATGACAGAAGCTTTGGGTATTTGGAGGCCGAGTTTTTGCATTTTACTGGTATATGTTGTTTTCAAATTTATTTTAGCTTAAGTCAAGGAATAAAGCATTACCTTAGCTTTATAAATGATCTGTGAAATCAGAGGTCCATATACATACAGAGAAATAAACATTTTTTACATGCATTTTGGAAAAAAGCGTGGCAATGACACTCAGAGGATGGTGCAGTCTGATACATAAGGAGAATGTAACTTGGGTGCAAAGGTGGAAGGAGGGATGAGGAGTAAGCAGAAGCAGCGGACAACGGCCACCAGCTAGTGCTCGGCAGCTTCAAGGAGTCAGATACTTCTGTAAAGCCGCTGGATGCTTCCAACATGGCTTTCAATTCACAGATAACCCGCTTTCCCTCCTCCCCGTATTGGTACAGGTCCTACGTTTTAAGGATTTCTCTATTTAAACACATTCTTCTGGCTTCTGTTTGGAGCAATACAGGACTCCTACCAGGCTTTCCTAGGATGACTGTGTTGATCCTTAGAGGGTAAAAAGGCTGCCTTGACAAATAAGCACTAACAAAGTTCACTAATGCCTGAGCATGTTGCTCTTGGAGTTGGTGACACTTGGGACAAGGAGCAGTGGCAGACTTCTTGTTCACCAGATCATTTAGAAAATATTAACTTTTTAATTACTAAACGGGTTTTAAGTGCTAAAATACTACCTCAGTGTTATATTCTAGATAGTCTCTATTTCTTGGAACTGGAGGACAGCTTCAGTGCTCGGAGGCATGTGCTTGGAAAGCTTTTCTACCTCAAGAAATGATGCATTTGAAGAAGTCCTCTTAATTTTTTTACTTAAAATAGATCATTGATATTGTATCCTTGACAGACGGTAGGAGCAGATTCCTCAGAGTATCAGTGCTTATCCCCTTGTGGCTAGTCAAGAGCCTCAGGAAAAGGCTTTTCCAACACTTACCACCACCACAAGGAATTAGTTACGCTTCTCAAGCCCAAATCTTACCTCTCGAGAGCCAACTCAATAAATTCCACCATTTCCCAAACACCTCTTCAGTCAGATATTTCTTAGAACAGATTAACAGCTTCCTTTTAAGGACAACCTTCGCCGCAGTTAAGGCATGTAATTAACCCGCGTGAGAGCCCCTGGGTGGGTTGTACCATCCTCAAGGTTCAGCCAGAGTCTGCCAGCACGAGGAACGGGCTCGAGACGGCACGGCCAAAACCAGGGTCGGTACCGCGGCTGCCCGACTCCCGGTCCCACCACGACACTATTGCTGAGGTGGTGATAATCGCAACTGGACTGATACGGCAAGAACGTCGGATGAGATTACAAGACCTCCGTGGTGGTTACGAGGGTTGAGAACATTTGGTGTTTTCAGGATAACACAATATATCTGACGTCGTGAAAACTGCAATCTTATTTTTTCCTTTGTGCTATCCAACAGAGCCTCAACAAGACGTGTCACTCCTGGGACCAAATACCGACCTCTCACTATTTCACAGCTATTAGTTAAAACCACTAGAACATGCCCTGTTAAAAAGGGAAGAAGCAACACGGAAATAAGCTATATTAGTAGGCTTCCCACCTTCTTCCCCTCCCATAATCTGCTATTATATTCACAGACTGAAATTTTTGGTCAAATCAAAATTTGGATTTGCAAACTGGTCCTTGGTCTGAAACAGCAGCACTACTTTTCTTGGATTTGCAAACTGGTCCTTGGTCTGAACAGCACTACTTTTTGAATCATTAGTATTTTTGAAGGCACAGATTTCAGAGATACTGTCATCAGCACCATCTAGTGCTGCGGAGACAGAATAATCAGTTAAAACCAACCTGGTGATGCTTATGGGGGGTGCGTGTGCAGCAAGAACAGGTTAAATCTGCTGTCTGTCTGCTTCAGAAGATACAGGTAATTTCACAAAGAGGAAGAATTTGAAATAAAAAGGATTTCCAACTAGTAGGTTCCTCTCCAAAATACATAAAGCATTTTGGCCATAAAGGAAATTTAAATATAAACAAAGAAGTGGGATCAGGATTTTGAAAAGTGCATTTATTCAATACATGTGAAGAGGAAAATGCACATACATCGGTATTCTGCCTGGAATTGGAATAGCAAAGAGCAAATTTATTTTCTGTGACAGAAATGTAGAGAACTGGGAAAAAGAAGGAGAAAGGAAAAGGACGGAAGACTATTTCTTTATATCCTACTTTTGCTTCCTTAAATATTTTCCTTTTTTTTTTTTTTTAATTAAGTGTAACGTAACTAAACTAGAGGGCTTGTTTATGGCATAAGCAAGCCCTTGGTGGCTGATTTCTATTTCCAAAGCAGCAGCGAGGGGGTAAGCTCTATTATACGTTGTCTTTGGCACCGGGGCTTCCCCTTGCAAAGTTCTGCTTTCCTGCCACAGCTCATCACCTTCTCACCCGTGCCGAGACACTTCTTTGTGGGACCGCTGCCCAGAACACCAATATTCAGGTTAAAAAAACCTCAACACAATTCTCTTCTTCATAAATTGGTTATCCTTCTCAAAGAACCATCCCTTACAGGAGCATGAGGGCAGGGACACGTAGGCAGGAATTTTTCATACTAAGAATAAAAACAGAGAGAACTGCACCCAGAGGAAACGCAAAGAGCTCCACGGAAACACTACAACTAAACAGGAAAAATTAAAGCCAGATACTGCGATTAACTACCGAATTCGGAGCTTCGAAGGAAGTAGCGTTGCCTCCTGAAATGGTGTAAAACTTCACCACCAAGTAATTCACTTATTATGCCCCTATCTCTACCTCTGAAAACCACCTTGATAAATATCGCCTTCATTTTTCAAGTATCAGAACAGATTTAGTTACAATCCTCAAAAGCCATTTGCATGAAATTTAGCTCATAAAAATCTTTTATCATCAACAAACATTGCCTTCTAAAGAAGACGCTTGATTTTGCGGCAGTCACATCTTCAGTGTCTGGAAGGTTTTGGGTTTTATTTTGATTTTTGAGGCATGAATAATGCAATTAAAAAAAGGAAACCATGTTTTACAAGGTTGTTCCCCTCCCCACAACAAGGTACCAATTCATGCAGAGGTGGAAATTAAGGCCGTCTCCCAAATTTCCCTCACGTGTCTTAGTCACACTCCTATTTTTGCCCCACTAAAAATCAAGTCGAGATCAAACTGAAAAATATATATACTATGTGGTCACGGAGGGCAGCCTGCACAGGTTGACAAGAATACAGAGTTTTCGACCAGAGTGCTTTTCCTCTTTCTTCCGTTCTTCTCCATCGACTGTCAGACAGACTATGGAGCTCGACAGCCCTTTGATCTCACCCACTATGGACATTTTATAACAATAACAAATTATGTTCGGAACTGTGTGTTAGCATGTCATGAGCTGCGGCGGGAAAGCAAATGGAAGTGTGTTAGCACCTCAACCCAGCTCTCACTCACAGAAGTACTTACGGACCAATGTTTAGCAAGCAAAATAATCGGTTGGAGTAACAGCAAGACGAAATAACAGCTGGCATCCATTACAGATCATCAAATCACACCAGGGATGAGCTCAACCAACGAGGAAGACTCAAGGCTGAACAGCTACCTCAAGGTCTTGTGTTTCTGATTTTTAGGAATTAAGAAAGTGTTGGTTTCCTGACTCCCTCTATACAGATGAAGTTTTTAATTTAACACAAGGCTGAACCCTCGATCAATAAAAAAAATTATTACAGACTAAACAGTAATGGTTGCTTAAATAGAAGTGATTTGATTATGTGTTATTTGCACACACAATAAAATTCAAACCAGTAATATATGAACTTAACGTTTTCAAAAAGCCAATTCGACAAAGCCTGTGGATCCACCCCCTCCCCCCAAAAAAAAGCCAATAAGGGGAACTCATTTAACAACTTTCTTCTTGGTCCACCAAAAATCACAAGCCAAAAATCACAAAAAACCCCAAAAAGCTTCTGCAAGTTCTGCAGAAAGTCTAATTTACAGCAGATTGAAAAAGCTTATAAAGTATATTTCTCACATATGAAAAATGAATGTATAAAATGAAACTTTTATAACTAAAAAATCAGGAAAAAAGATAAGGGAATTAAAATTAGCAATTGAAAGTAAATCCAAAGCTAGAATTTGCCAAAACCTGGAGCTTTCTGAAAGCTTCATATGATGCGAAGCAAAGGTACTAATGTACCTTATTTTAAGAAAATAAACAGGATGACCCAAGATAACGACATGCCAGTTAACCCTGAGCACAAAAATGGAACAGTGATCGTGAGACTCATTCAAAGGAGGCTGTCACCAGCATAGAAAAACAGACCTTGTCAAGCACACTCAGCGGGTTTTTTTTTTTTCAATGAGACTAGAAGATAAAGCATGATAGTACCCCTGTTGTAACAGGCTTCTACACGTCATTTATATGACTTTGTTCCATGTGGGATTTTTTGCTTAATAAACTCAAATGATAAAAAGCAACATGACATGCATTACATGAACTGAAAATCAGACATCTGAACAGTTTGAAAAATCTTTAACTTTCAATCTTGAAATAAGTTTTCTCAATATGGCCAAA